CATCTATGTGCATTACCATAGTAACGTGCTTAGTAACTGGTAGAGAATGCCCTGAACGCAATTAAACTATTAGTCGTAATCGACCGACATGTTTTCAATTTCAGACTAGTGTTGCCTAGACTTAATCTTGGTGCAATATGACGTCACGGGACAAGAGGTTCAATAAAGGAGACACAATGTTAGACAAAACATCATATTTAGCGATGTCTGTGTTATTTGACCCCTTCGGACAAGTTATCAAATAGGGGTATCATTTTCGTTGATTTCAAGGGCGAACTTAGAGAAAGGCATATCTGGCGCGCGTCGAAATTTTAACCTTCGTTCACAGGCCTCTTCAACCCAAAATCCTGCACCCGTCCCAGGATCGTGAGGCTCACATTGACTCGTACTACCACATCGTATATCTTCATATGGCCATGTCCATGTTTATGTCCGTAAACGTGCATGTAAACTACTAGTAACTGATGTATTTATTGTAAACTGAATTATCAATACACTAAACCATATAATTTTAATTGTTGAAAGAATATCTATACGCGTGAATTAAAAAAGGAACTACCATGCTTTAATCTCATAAAATCTGATATACGTTAGACGCAGAAGATAGAGTTAGAAATATCAAATAGAAGCCATACAATGTCCATTTTCCTGGACAAGTGGGGAGACTTTAATTGTTAATGGGTTCCCACTCCTAACTGGTAACGGGTATTCAGTGTTTATTTTGTATGGGTTACATTTGTTGTATATGGATATTGATATTGTGCTGTAACCTAATTCTCATTGTATGCAATAAATAAGGATGGCTGAAAAAAAATGAAAAAAAAATAAATAAATAAAAAAAAAAATAAAAAAAAAAAAAATTATCAATATACTAGTATGTCCTAGCTGGTCTCATATGTTTGAATATAGGCACGCACGGGGGGGGGGGGGCAACAGTTAGCACCCAAACTTGTTAAAGAAATCGCGTCGATTGTCATGTCGGAAATGGCATACCGAAAAAGAGAATAGTTGTGAATATACGGGTAATAGTG